CATTATCTGTTTTTTTATTTATTCACCTGTATCACCTTTTTGGTTTGTACTTATTTTAATCCCTAGAAGTGAATAATTTGTTTATTATTTAGCAAATTTGTGAATATTTATATGATGTGGTTTTCAATTGGATTATTATTTTTTAATATTTGAGATTTAAGCTCGGTTCACATCTGTGCAGACGGTGCCACTGTGGGGCCTGCATAAATACTGTCAACCACAACCACCCACACAGAACAATGTGGGACCTGCAGGTGGGTGCCAGTAGTTCTAATGGCATGCCGCCCACACTAGACATCGCAACCGTAGTGGGATCCTCTGTTCGCATGAGGGCTGAAATTTACAAATAGTGCAGGGACTTGTTTCCTGCGTGTCCTGGGCTCTTGTGCCTGCACAAACTGCGGTCCGCATGGCTGCACGGGTGTGAACCTAGCTTTAACTGCTTCCCGTCCGCCCTATAGCAGAAATACTGCTACAGGGTGGCACGGGGTGCGCAAAATCACGTGTGTATATATACGTGATTTTGCATTTCCAAGTAGGGGCTGCACGCGACCTACCAGCACCACTATTCACAGCCGCAGCTGATTACTCGCCGGCGCCCGGTGATTGCTGAGGATCTTCGATGAGGGAGAGAACTGTTAGTAAACAAAACAGCCATGCAAAGCAGTGTGCTTACAGTGAAGCACACAGACACAGCCCCATAGTAAAACACACCCAGCACACAGTTAACCCTTTGATCGCCCCTTCCTGCCCAGTGCCATTAGTACAGGGTCAGTGCTTTTTATTAGCAGTGATCACTGTATTGGTGTCACTGGGGATGTCAGTGACACCAAGTCAGTTCCCCTCAATGTCAGAATGCCCGCCGCAGTCCCACTATAAGTCGCTGATCTCCGCCATTACTAGTAAAAATTAAAATAAAAAAATCCCAGTATAAATACACCTCCAATTGTAAACACTATAACTTTCACGTAAACCAAGTTATTTACACGTATTGTTTTTTTTTTTTTCAAGTAAAGACATGTAGCAGAATACATTTTGGCCTAAATTTATGATGAAATTTGATTTTTTTACTGGACATGTTTAATAGCAAAAAGTCAAAAATATTGTTTTGTTTTGTTTTTTATAGTGCAAAAATAAAAACTGCACATACAATCAAATACCACCAAAAAAAAGCTCAATTTGTGGAAAAAAGGACTTAAATTAAATTTCGGTGCAGCGTTGCATGACCGCGCAATTGCCAGTTAAAGTACTGCAGTGCCATAACGCAAAAAATGGCCTGGCCAGGAAGGGGGGTAAATCCTCTGGAGGGCAAGTGGTTAAATTAACAGCGCAACACATTTGTTTGTTTTTTTTTTTATATATATTTTGTATCCGGATGTCAGTAAGTGCTGCTGTTTGGCTGTACTTTGACTTTCTTTTTGCTGTATGGGCACTTAGTGCTGGTTTTTCACTTTTAGCATAGTTCTGTTGGGCCTTCATATGAAAGGCACCCACCTCTTCCATAGGCATGTTTCCTTAAAGTGGTACTTAACCCAGGACCCTGCATTCACTATATCTGGTCTCCCCGGACCCTGCATTCACTATATCTGGTCTCCCACAGTACACACAACATGGAAATGCAATTATTTTAGTAAATATAAACTGCTAAACACCTTTTCTCATAGGCAATATATAGCAGTTGTGTGACTTCTATCAGCATCCAGGTGAGCACTGTTAAAGCTTGTAGGAGGAGTTTTCATTCTCCCCCTGATTATCCTATGAGGCTGCATAACCCCTGACCCTCTGTCTGGACAGTGCTGATTGGCCCATGCACCCTCCCAAGAAAAAAAAATAAAATCTGTCTAGCAATACATGCCAGGCCGAGCATGTACAGAGTGATTCTTAGAGCTCTGTACTATCAGCAGATGGATTGGGGGCAGTAGAAGCTGGGGAGGATCAGAGAAGACAGCCTTTTTACTCAATGCGGAGGTTTAACCGCTTAGTTTCCACAGTGAGTATAACAAGCATGCTTTACTGCATATACAGACTGATTTTACTGTTATGGGTTTAGTAACACTTTAAGTCCAGCTGCCTTCAGGCCCTCAGCCATAACTCCTGCTGATGCCCAGCAGTAGCAACATCTCTGAAATACTCACATGCATGTTCTCCCTCCCTGAGAGAGAGCACCAGGGAAGAAGAGCTCTGATCAGATGCTCCCAAATATGCACTATATTGCCAAAAGTATTGGGATGCCTGCTTTACACACATATAAATGGCATCCCAATGTTAGTCTGTAGGGTTCAGTATTGAGTTGGCTCACCCTTTGTAGCTATAACAGCTTCAACTCTTCTGGGAAGGCTGTCCACAAGGTTCAGGAGTGTCTATGGGAATGTCTGACCATTCTTCCAGAAGCAAATTTGTGAGGTCAGGCACTTATCTCAGATGAGAAGGTCTGGCCCACAGTCTTTGCTCTAAATCATCCCAAAGGTGTTGAGGTCAGAACTGTGCAATCCAGTCAAGTTCCTCCACCCCAAACTCACTTATCCATGTCTTTATGCACTTTGCTTTGTGCACTGGTGCACAGTCATGTTGGAACAGGAAGGGGCCATCCCCAAACTGTTCCCACAAAGTTGGGAGCATGAAATTGTCAAACATGTCTTGGTATGCTGACACCCTAAGAGTTCCCTTCACTGGAACGAAGGGACCAAGCCCATTCCTGAAAAACACCCCCACACCATAATCCCCCCTCCACCAAACTTTACACTGGGCACAATGCAGTCAGGCAAGTACTGTCCTCTGGCAACCACCAAACCCAGACACTTCCATCAGATTGCCAGACAGAGAAGCGTGATTGGTCACTCCAGAGAACACATCTCTACTGCTCTAGAGTCTAGTGGTGGCATGCTTTACACCACTGCATCCGCCACTTTGGTGATGTAAGGCTTGGATGCAGCTGCTTGGCCATGGAAACCCATTCCATGAAGCTCTCTACACACTGTTGTTGTGCTAATCTGAAGGTCACATGAAGTTTGGAGGTCTTTAGCTATTGACTCTGCAGACATTGTGCGCTTCAGCATGCACTGACCCTGCTCTGTCATTTTACATGGCCTACCACTTGCTGCTGTTCCCAGTTGCTTCCACTTTGTTATAACACGACTAACAGTTGAGCGTGGAATATTTAGTAGCAAGGAAATTTCACAGATGGACATATTGCTAAAGTGGCAAACAATCACGGTACCACGCTTGAATTCACTGAGCTGAGAGCGACCCCATTCTCTCACAAATGTTTGTAGAAGCAGTCTGCATGCCTAGGTGATTGATTTTATACACCTGTGGCCATGGAGGTAATTGGAACACCTGAATCCAGTGATTTGGAAGGGTGTCCCAGTACTATTGGAAATATAGTGTCTCCCCATCCACACCTTCTGGGTCAGCCACGCAGGGATTGGCTAAAATCAGATAACTATTTACAATCCTGTGACTGATCCTCCCACACCATTTGTGGAATATTCTTCCAGAGGCAGGCAGAAGCAATCGCCTGCCAAGTTTAGGGGTAAACCTGGTCAGACCTAAATAGTAAATTGCAGTTCAGTTGAGTATAGCAGAGCAATATACTAAATTTTGCCAGCCCAGGGCAGAGGCGCTACATCTAATTTGATAAGATATCTATTTCCGTCACTGTGTTGTACATCTAATAAATTCAATAAATTAGAATTGGTGTTAACACGTACAGAAATTACTACAGAACTGAAGTAGTTATCACATAGAATCCCAGGGCATTTGCAGAGCTGGAAAGCAGAAAGTGTAGGGTCTAGAGGAGGAGTGGAGTCAGTTACCAGAGTCTGCTGAATGCTAAGACCAGGGGAGGCGCAGATGAGGGGGTGCTGCAGCTGCACTGATAGGTGCAGGATTTGGCAGAGGAGTTCTACTCTCCTCTCTGCTGCCGACTGCTGAGACAAGAGGGTGCAAGGGCCACATGAGATGACCTGGAGGGCCGGATTGGGCCCACAGTCCTTGTGTTTGACACCTGTGGCCTAACTGTGTGTGTGTGTGTGTGTGTGTATATATATATATATATATATATATATATGTATATGTATATATATATAATATATTGAGCGTCATACAAGATATTAAGAGATTAAGCATATTTGAGCATCTTATCACCACCAGTCAGAATCCAGCATTTGGCTAATCAAATGGGAGTATAAAGCTAGGGGTTGAAGTTGGAGATGTGTAATTAGTTTAGTTACAAATCTAAATTCTGTAAAAATTTTCATTATTTGGATATATCAGAATTTCCAAATCGCAATAGTAACAAATTTAGATAAATCGAAAAAAATTGTAATGATGCAAATTACTGTACTATTTAACCCTCCCTCCTAGATTGTAAGCTCCAAGGAGCAGGGCCCTCCTATCCCTCTTGTATTGTTGCTGTATTGTCTCCCATTATATTGTAAAGCGCTGAGCAAACCGTTGGCGCTATATACCGGTACATCCTGTATAATAATAATCATAATGGAAGGAATAGTGGCCCATCATTGGTATCAGCAGGAGGAATCGTGCCTCATTGTTGGTATCAGTGGGAGGATTATTGCCCTATTGATGGTGTCAGTCGGACAAATAGTGCCCCATCATTGGTATCAATGGAATTAATTGTGCACCATCCTTGGTGTCAGTGGGAGGAACAGTGCCCAATCCTCCTATGTCTATGGGATGAATAGTGCCCCATAGTTGGTGTCAGTAGGTGGCATAGTGGCTTGTATGAGTGGGAGGAACAGTGCCCCAAGGGCCATATAAATTCATGCAAAGGGCCGCAGTTTGGAGACCACTGGTCTATACCATGCACAGTTCCCAAAATCATGGGAACATTGGAGCTGCTTAGCACTACAGAGCTTATTGCAAATTCTGTTTTGTTTTTTTTTTTTTGTTTTTTTTTTTTTACGTTTTACAGAATATCATTTTTGCATTTAGGGATAGACATTGATCCCGGTTTGTAATTTGCATGTTTTCTTGCACAGGTTCCTTATCTACCTTCTGGAAAAGCTCAGACAGCTAACGTGCTGAAACTTTTGCAAGGTCGGAAAGGCCTATTGGTTGATCTGGGATCAGGAGATGGAAGATTGGTAAAGTATGCTTATTTATTTTATAGAACTAGTTAATCTTGTTTCACATTGGTGGAATAGGGACAAACCGCCTGAGATGCAAGATGGGGCTGTGAGATTATACAGTCTTCTTGAAAATGGGCTGAGGGGTTTCCCCTCATTTCCTGTTTTTGCTATGGGACAGGAAGTGAAAAGAAATCTCCCCAAAGGGGACACAAATGGCACAATTAAAAAAAAAAAAAAAAAAAAAAAAAATACCAGGTTATAACCCTCCCATATGCTGTCCAGAATGAATAAAAAAAGTTATGCCTTTAGTTCTACTTCAACCGCTTCCCAGCAGCCCTATAGCAGAAATACTACTACAGGGCGGCAGGGGTGTGCAAAATCACATATATACATGATTTGCATTTCCGGGTAGGGTATTTCCAGTATTTCTGGCCACGGCTGTCAATCACCGGGTCCTGGCCGGTGATTACTAAGGATCTTCGACGGGGAGGAAGGCTGCTTTGTTTACTAACAGTTGTCCTCCCTGTCGGCTCGGCTGTGCACAGCCATCCAGAGCTGTGTGCTTACAGTGAAGCCCCAACACACCGCCCCCCAGTAAAAAAACACTCCCTACACACAGTTAACCCTTTGAGCAGCCTCATGTTATCCCCTTCCAGCCCAGTGCCATTAGTACAGTGTCAGTGCTTTTTTTTTTTTTTTTTTTTTTTTTTTTAGCACTGATCACTGTATTGGTGTCACTGGGGATGTCAGTGACACCAAGTCAGCTCCCCCCCAGTGTCAGACTGCCCACTGATTGCTGCCATTACTAGTAAAAATTCCAGTATATATACCACCATTTGTAAACGCTGTAACTTTCACATAAACCAATTCATTTACACGTGTTGTGATTTTATTTTTAATAGCAAAGACATGTAGCAGAATACATTTTGGCCTAAATTTATGCTGAAGTTTTGATTTTTTTAAAATTTTTTACAGAACATGTTTAATGGAAAAAAGTCAAAAATATTGTTTTTTTTTTTTTTCAAAATTGTTGGTCCTTTTCTTTTTTTTTCTTTAAAGCGCAAAAAATAAACGCACAGGCAATCAAATACCACTGAAAGAAAGCTCAATTCGTGGGGGAAAAAGAACACAAATTTCATTTGGGTGCAGCGTTGCATGACCACGCAATTGTCAGTTAAAGTAACTCAGTGCCATAATGCAAAAAATGGCCTGGTCAGGAAGGGGGGGGGGGGGAATCCTCAGGACGGCAAGTGGTTAATATTTATTAGAACAGAAACTATATAGCTGAAATTAGATACAATACATACCATAAATATAATAAAAGAAACCATAGTTGGTCCTTTCTGTGAACTTACAATGGCATTATGTAGTTTTATCTTTGTGGGATCCCAAAGCCTTCAGTAGCTCTTTGCAGTTTGCACTGATTTTGGAATGATTGATAACCTTTTCAGCAAAAAACAAGCTTTTTTCGTATGAAAACATATGACTTTGCTAGCCCTGCTTGCCTCCTTCCCCATTTTAGCTAAACTGTATTGTATGGTTTAGAATTTGAAGACAGTAAAATGGTTTAGAAGAAAAATTATTTTTAAGAGTGAGTCAACCCAAAATTGTTAATGCACGCCAACCGCCGAGCTAGACAATGGTGCATATTTTTAAAGTTAATCGTTCCATTGTAAAATAATGTGTAGTACTTAATCAGAAGCTGTGCAGATCTTACTGAAAGGAACACGAACATTTTGTCCATTAGGGTTTACTCACTACATCTGTATGGGCCTTGCACTGAAGATTCATGAAAAAAGTTGTTTTATATGGTTTTATACCAAGAGTAAATAGAGCTCATTTTCATGTGTTCTGAAGAGCAATCCCCAGTGGATCACTTTTCAGAAGGCATTTGCCAGGTGATGATGAAGCCATATGTTGCCTCCTCCCTGCCTGTTTTAACCCCTAAAAGACTGCAATGCAACTGTGTGCATTGCACGCAGTTGCAGCACAGTCCCATGTGCTTGAATTGATTGTGTTTGGCGGATGGTACTGCCTACCAAATGTGAAGTAAGAAGAACCATCCTTCATTTTGTAAGGCAGAAGATATATATATATATATATACAGTGGGGATCGAAAGTTTGGGCACCCCAGCTACAAATTTGTATTAATGTGCATAAAGAAGCCAAGGAAAGATGGCAAAATCTCCAAAAGGCATCAAATTACAGATTAGACATTCTTATAATATGTCAACAAAAGTTAGATTTTATTTCCATCATTTACACTTTCAAAATAACAGAAAACAAAAAAATGGCGTCTGCAAAAGTTTGGGCACCCTGCAGAATTTATAGCATGCACTGCCCCCTTTGCCAAGCTGAGACCTGCCAGTGTCATGGATTGTTCTCAATCATCGTCTGGGAAGACCAGGTGATGTCAATCTCAAAGGTTTTAAATGCCCAGACTCATCTGACCTTGCCCCAACAATCAGCACCATGGGTTCTTCTAAGCAGTTGTCTAGAAAACTGAAACTGAAAATAGTTTGACGCTCACAAAGCTGGAGAAGGCTATAAGAAGATAGCAAAGCGTTTTCAGATGTCAATATCCTCTATTCAGAATGTAATTAAGAAATGGCAGTCATCAGGAACAGTGGAAGTTAAAGCAAGATCTGGAAGACCAAGAAAAATATCAGACAGAACAGCTCGCAGGATTGTGAGAAAAACAATTCAAAACCCACGTTTGACTGCACGATCCCTCCAGAAAGATCTGGCAGACACTGGAGTTGTGGTACACTATTCCACTATAAAGAGATACTTGTACAAATATGGTCTTCATGGAAGAGTCATCAGAAGAAAACCTCTTCTATGTCCTCACCACAAAAAATCATCGTTTGAACTTTGCAAATGAACATATAGACAAGCCTGATGCATTTTGGAAACAAGTTCTGTGGACCGATGAGGTTAAAATTGAACTTTTTGGCCGGAATGAGCAAAGGTACGTTTGGAGAAGAAGGGGCACAGAATTTAATGAAAAGAACCTCTGTCCAACTGTTAAGCATGGGGTTGGATCAATCATGCTTTGGGGTTGTGTTGCAGCCAGTGGCACAGGGAACATCTCACGAGTAGAAGGAAAAATGGATTCAATAAAATTTCAGCAAGTTTTGGATGGTAACTTGATGCCATCTGTGAAAAAGCTGAAGTTAAAGAGAGGATGGCTTCTACAAATGGATAATGATCCTAAACACACCTCGAAATCCACGGGGGATTACATCAAGAGGCGTAAACTGAAGGTTTTGCCATGGCCTTCACAATCTCCTGACATCAACATAATTGAAAATCTATGGATAGACCTTAAAAGAGCAGTGCGTGACAGACAGCCCAGAAATCTCAAAGAACTGGAAGACTTTTGTAAGGAAGAATGGGCAAAGATACCTCAAACAAGAATTGAAAGACTCTTGGCTGGCTACAAAAAGCGTTTACAAGCTGTGATACTTGCCAAAGGGGGCAGTACAAGATATTAACTCTGCAGGGTGCCCAAACTTTTGCAGATGCCATTTTTTTGTTTTCTGTTATTTTGAAAGTGTAAATGATGGAAATAAAATCTAACTTTTGTTGACATATTATAAGAATGTCTAATCTGTAATTTGATGCCTTTTGGAGATTTTGCCATCTTTCCTTGGCTTATGCACATTAATACAAATTTGTAGCTGGGGTGCCCAAACTTTCGATCCCCACCGTGTGTGTGTGTATTTATATATATATATATATATATATATATATATATATATATATATATATATATATATATATATAACACAGGGAGGTAAGTGAGCGCTAAAATGGCTAGCCGCTGAAACACCAAAAAGGTACCAAAAAACCTTCCAAAGTAACAATATAAATAAGGGTGCAGCGCTTAACATATGAATATCACACATATGATGATTGTAAATAAATATGAAAAGTGCAAATGCAATGAATAAAATAAATAAATCACAGTGTCAAATTAAATTCAAAGTGACTGATGGTGTGCAAATAGTGGTATTATACTTATAAGTCCATAAAATGATCAAGTGATGACACTACAATACATATTGTCACTATAAAGTGACCGCTGGTGCTGAATAAAGTGGCAATAATGACAGATAAATGTCCAACAAGTGATAAATGGAATCCAATTATGATCTCAAACGCTGGAGATCGATATCATCTATCCAATGATATGGTGATGTGCCAGGTAATGTAAGAATTGCGCACTCACCAGATGTGCAATCAAATCACACATTTAGAGATATAAACTCTCAATAGTCAGCTGGAGGTCCCTCTAAGGAAATGTGCAGCCTGGTCTGGAGTTCGCACTGGTTCATCTGCAGTCAGCAATACCTCTGCCGTCCTCTTTGTACAGCTCTGTGGGTTGTTGGGCCCTTTATGTATTGTAAGTATAATACCACTCTTTGCACACCATCAGTGTATTAGATGAGATTGTCAACTTATATTGTTACAGTAAAACTATACTATTACTAAGTAGCCCAATGCAGGGGGCCACTTCTTAAGTAGTATTTATTATTACAGGTTCTTGCAGCTGCGTCTCTGGGATTTCAAGGTACAGGCTATGAGTTAAATCCCTTCTTGACAAATTGGGCCACAGCTAAGGCTTGGTGGAAAGGCATCTCTCTAAAGACCAGGCCAGTTTCCTCAGGGAGGATTTTTGGTTGGTAAGAAAAGCTCTTTGTCCTGTATGCAGTGCTTTTGGGGGACTGTATACAGACGAATAACTGTTCATACTTGTCAAAGCAGGACTGCATTGCACCCATGAAAGTAATGGTTTAAAAATGTTAAGTCTCTCTCAAACATGCTTTAGCTTGTATAAAAGCAGTGTGAACAGAAAGCTCTGACAAAGCATTTGCAGAGCGATTAGCAAGCTTTGTTGAGACTTTTAAAATACCATTTAGCTCCAGTTTGTAAATGTTAAACACTGATCCTAATAGGGGTGCTGATTGCCACTAAACAAAAAACAATGCTGCTAGCAAGCTTCAGCATGTCTTGAAGATTGATGAAAGCCTGCTAGAAGCTTGCTTAAAGTGGCAATTAAAACTCCCATTAGGATCTGTGATCATTTACAAACTTGAGCTGAATGGTACTTTTTAAAAGCGTCAACAAAATTTGCTGAAAGCTCTGTGGATGCTTTGTCAAAGCTTACTGTTCACACTGCTCTTATACAGCTGAAGTGAAGCAGGCCTTAGGGCTCATTTAGTCCTGCACACTGGACATTTTTACAGCGGCTGTTTTGGGATTTTGATGTTTTTTTCTACAGCTAGTAAACCCCCCAGCATGTTATCCTATGCGTCCATGCGCACATAGACTGTAATCTATGTGTGCATGGCTGGGACGTTTTTTGGCTGGAAAAAACCCAGGACTAGTGGGTTTCTGGAGGAGTTTTCTAGTTGTAAAAACGCTCTTAATGCTAAAAAATGCGGCAAAACGCGGTAAAATGCCGCAAACTGGCTAAAAAAAAGCTGAAAATCTCACGTTTTTAACGTGAGTTTACACAGCTAACATTACCAGTGTTATCTAAACGTCCTGTGTGCATGAGGGCTTACACTGTACTTGCTTCAACTTTAACACACATTAAAGTGTCTACTGCTTCAATATGCTTTATATGTTTTTGATGCTTCTGTGATGCTTCAATGATGCATTGGTGGTGCTTTTTTTAAGCTTTAATAAAGCTTGGCAAATGGTGTGTGTGTGTGTGCGTGCTGTGTGTGCGTGTGCGTGTGTGTGTGTGTGCGTGTGTGTGTGCGTGTGCGTGTGCGCGTGTGTTGATTTTTGTTTTTTTTAAAGGGGCTCAGTAGAACCACAGCTTGGTAGTACCTGCACTCAGCTGATCCCCAGCTCATTAGTATCCCTGTCCAGCAGATCCCTAGCTCATGTTATACCCTTTTTCAGCAGATCACCAGCTTATGAGTACCCTCGTTTAGCAGATCCCCTGCTCAGTAGTACCCCCAGCTCTGCTACTCTCCTACTCAGTAGTAACCCCCGGCTTTGCTGGTCCTTTTGGTTTGCTGATCATGCTCTCTCTCCAGTCCCCGCACACCTCACACTATAATGCTCCCATGCTGCGCACCATATGTGACAACTACTAGTTTCTCCTGCTCTGGCCCCCAGCTCTGCTGATTTTCTAACGCTCAGTCCTCTCTCCGGTCCCTGCTCACCTTCTGCTATAGTGTTCCCATGTTGCACATCACATGTGCCGTCTGCTACTTGCTCCACTCCAGTCCAAACCCCGCTCACCTTCCTGCTGGTCCACCCTGCCCACCAGATGTGATGTCTGCACCAGGCACTTCCACAATGTATACACATGAAAAGGAGGTGACTGCTGCTGGCAACATCTTTCTGGTTCACTTGTTGGTTTCCCAGTACATCCTGGGATATCTCATACCTGCAATGCCTACAAAACAAAGCGAAGCTAAAGCTCAAAAAAAGCCTCTCAAAAGCTACAGGTGCTGTAAGCAAGCTTTGTCATAGACGTCTATGGAGGCTTTTAAGATGCTTTGAAGCACCAAGAAAGCAACATGGGATATTATTATTATTATTATACAGTATTTATAAAGCGCCAATAGTTCGCTCAGCGCTGTAATATATATAATAGATATAATTTTTGAACAGAGGCAAAGCAAGCACAACGTGTAAACAGGACTGTAAGGTAATCATATGATTTAGTGACGGGCTTTGGCTGGCATTAAGAGTACCTCAAAAAAGTGTGTCCAATGCCACATTTTGAAGAATATGTAAATGAGCCCTTACTGTGAATAGATGCACTAACCAGTGGCTATATATATAGTTCACACTGCCTGTCCTTCACCATGATCCAGTTAATCATTGGCAATATCATCTAATGGTGACACTATGGACTTTAGGCATTTGTGTATCCATTCACCAAGGATGTATTGTGGCATCACTGATGTGCTGTTGAAGTGATTGTCTACACCAATCTTTCTCAATGAGGATTCAGTGGAACCCTTGGTTTCTTCCAGAGGTTGCTAGGGGTTCCTTGAGCAATTACTGTCTCTCCAGCACTGACAGCAACGATCTTTTTAGCTACAGGATCTGTAACCATGAGCCTAGAAATAGTAAGTTCCATGAGACCTGAAAGTTATTTCAAGGATTCCTCCATGTTGAAAGGGTTGAGAAAGGCTGGTCTACACCATCTCGGCACTCCTCCACTCTAGCATCCCACAAATGCAGATGTCTATGTAGACTAAAAATGATCCCATTAATCATTAGAATGGCACATAGTTAGGTCATTACAGTTCGGTTTTGATGTGTTCATGGAACACTACTGCCAGGATACAAATCATAATATATGTATCATATCATGCTGTATTTATTTTGTGCTTCTTCTATCTGGTCATGAACTGCAGCATTACCTGCAATGAACAGTAAATTAATATAGGTGAGTAAATAATCAACATTTAGTGATCCTTGTCCCTCCATTTGCATTTGGTGTTTTTACCTAGTAGTAGTTAGTCGCATTCCACTGGACTTTTTCTATAAAGACATTTCATAGCTCATCCAAGCCACTTCTTCAGTTCTAACTTGAATAGGCTTGAATAAGCTATGAAACTTTGTCAGCATTACAGAACAATAACTACTATTAGATTTACCAAGACATGGATAAGTGAATCTTCACAAAGTTTGCATCTTTTTCTTAGCTTTTTATTTCTTTTTTTGCTAAAATCATGTCAACCTCCTAAAAAAAAAAAAAAAAAAAAAAAAAAAACAGCCAAGTGTACTAGGATGCACAAACATGTGGGCCCTCAGCTATGCCATGCTAGCCCAATGTCGCCTTTAGCATTACACAGATGCTTTACAACATTGGTACCCAAGACCATCGCCAGTGTGGGAATGCAGGAGGTGTCTTTTTGTGTACCCTATGTGCAAGTGAGGAGAAAAGGTTGAGACACAGGACTAAGCGACCACTGTGGCACTGTTTCCCCCACTGATACCAATGATGGGGCACTGTTCTCCCCACTGATACCAATGATGGGGTACTATTCCTCCCACTGATACCAATGGTGGGGCACTATTCCTCCTCCCCACTGACACCAATGATGGGGCACTATTCTCCCCACTGACACCAATGATGGGGCACTATTCTCCCCACTGATACCAATGATGGGGCGCACTTCCTGCCACTGACACCAATGATGGGGCGCAATTCCTGCCACTGACACCAATGATGGGGTGCTATTCCTCCCACTGACACGAATGATGGGGTGCTATTCCTCCCACTGATACCAATGATGGGCCGCAATTCCTCCCACTGACACTAATGATGGGGCACGATTCTTCCCACTGACACCAATGATGGGGCACTATTCCTCCCTCTGACTAATGATGGGGCACTATTCCTCCCACTGACACCAATGATGAGGCACTACTCCTCCCACTGACACCAATGATGGGGCACTATTCCTCCCACTGATACCAATGATGGGGCACTATTCCTCTCACTGACACTAATGATGGGGCACCATTCCTCCCACTGATACCAATGATGGGGCACTATTCCTCCCACTGATACCAATGATGGGGCACTATTCCTCCCACTGATACCAATGATGGGGCACCATTCCTCCCACTGATACCAATGATGGGGCACTATTCCTTAGTCCCACTGACACCAATGATGAGGCACTACTCCTCCCACTGACACCAATGATGGGGCACTATTTCATCCACTGACTAATGATGGGGCACTATTTCATCCACTGACTAATGATGGGGCACTATTCCTCCCACTGACTAATGATGGGGCACTATTCCTCACACACTGACACTAATGATGGGGCACCATCATTGGTGTCAGTGGGAGGAATAGTGTCCCATCATTGGTATCAGTGGATGAAATAGTGCCCCATCATTGGTGTCAGTGGGAGGAATAGCACCCCATCATTGGAATACCATACTGAAATAGCATACCATATTGAAATCAAATCTGATGTTTTTTCATTTTTATTTGGTGTGCGTTGGAAGAGGGGTAGTCTTATACGGCAAGTATAGCTCAAACCCTATATTTTAACAGGAAAAGTAGGGGGTCGTCTTATACGCCCAGTCGTCTTATACGCCGGAAAATACGGTACCTTTTTTTCCCCCCTTTTATATAAGCGATCGCATACCTTCTGTTCTCAGCTGCAAAAGGAGCACAGGGATGAGAAACAGCAGTACACTGATCTTTCCAGTGAATGGCTGTGCAGAGGGAGGGGGGGTGTGTCAGCAGAGGTCTGATCATTGGAGGAGAGAACACAGCATTCCCAGCACAGCTAGAGAACTGACTACACTGCATTCTCCTGCTTAGTGTGGCTAGTTTTTAATAGGAAAGCAGAGGGACTGGCAGGAACAGCAGGGATTTCACTCAAAGGAAACAGGACACTTTTTCATACAAGTACATGGTACAGCAGGCACAAAAGTTGGGTTTACATACTCTAAAAAAAAATACCAAACAAAGCTTTATTTTAACCACTTAAGTATTATCACTGATCACTGTATTCGTGTCACTGGTGATGTCAGTGGAAGTTATTCCATTGCCCCCAGTGCCAGTTAGTGTCAGATTGCGTGCCACATTATTGCAGTCTCATTATAATTCACTGATTACCACCTTTAGTTGTTTAAAAAAAAAATTCCAATATATGCCATAGTTTGTAGATGCTAAAAC